GGGCCAGGGGCTATGCCTGTTATCCTAGCTACTTAGGAAGCTGAGCTAAAGAGTTAGATCATGGTTCAAGGCCAGTATGAGCAGACTGCCTCCAAAATAAGCAGAAAGAGGCTGAGCTTGAGCCATGGCTTGAGTGGTAGTGTGCCAGCCAAACAAGCAAGCTAAATGAGAAGACCCGAGTTCAAGGCCTGGTACTGCCAAAAGAGAGACAGACAAGAAAGGATCAAACAAATGAACGAAGGAACAAGGGAAAAGAAGGGAAGGGAAGGAAAAGGAGGTAGTTTGAAAGAGTAAGAGCTTGCTGCGCAGTCACTGGGCTTTGCTAAGATAGCTCACATGCCCCCCGCAAGCCAGCACAGAGCCAGTTTTCACAGGAGAGGTTCAGTGAAGAGTGTAAGGCGTGGAGTGTGAATCTCTAGTCGGGTGCTAAAGACGTGTGCAGCCCAGACAAGCGGACTCCCTTCAGGGTCACGCCTGCCTGGCTATTTGTTGAAGGCTGTGTCTCAGGTATATGCAAACAGTTACGTCAAATACACACCCCACAAATACCACAAATGTCACCTCCAGTGGACACAAGCTGATAAACAGAGCCATAAAGATAAGATGTCAAGACAACTGGATTAGTCCCTCTTAATCTCATTTTCCTCGCAGCCCAGAGCAAGCACCAAAAGTCTCAAAGCCACCTAGCAATCAACAGGCAATCGGGCAATCGACAGGCAATCACGTCGAATTCATGCAGTCCCACGGGACTTTTATTGACAATTTGTCCTTTGCTGTATCCTTTCCCTCTTCTTCCTCTTCTCTGTTCATTTTGATCAGACTCAACCCTCTCCTCTTCCTTTCTTGTTTCTTCCCTCTCCATCTTTCCTAGCTTAACGAGAGTTCGTTTCTTTCTTTCTCTCTTCCTTTCCCTTTCTTTCTTTCTTTCTTTCTTTCTTTCTTTCTTTCTTTCTTTCTTTCTTTCTTTCTTTCTTTCTTTCTTTTCCTTCCTTCCTTCCTTTCTCTCTCTCTCTCTCTCTCTTTCCTCTTTTTATTTGGTCAGTCATGGGGCTTGATTTCTAGGCCTGGGCACTGTCCTTGTGTTCTTCAGCTCAAGGCGAGCACTCTACCACTTGAGCCACCACAGCACCACTTCCCATTTTCTGGTAGTTAATTGGAGATAAGAGTTTCATGGACTTTCTTGCCCAGGCTGGCTTTGAACTATGATCCTCAGATCTCAGCCTCCTGAGTAGCTAGGATTACAGGCATGAGCCACTGGTGCCTGGCTCAGAGTTTCAGTTTCTTAGAGTTTCATTTTTCTGAGTTTGATTTTCCTGTCTCTTCCATCTTTTTTTCTGGGTGCAGGTAGAAGACTCCCAGGACCACTGTTAAGATGCTGCATGTGGATGTGCAGAAATGCAGCCACCTTACATCAGAAAGATGCTTTGGAAGCAGGGCTGAGGAGGAGGTGTGGAGGGTAGGCCTCAGCTTTTATTGCTTTCATGATTTCAGTATTAAGCAACCTGTGAGCTCCGACCCCCAGACCTTTTCCAGTGCAGCCTCTGTGGAGCCCTGTTGTGATTATGTGATAAAGCTGCATGGCCAATTTCGCAAGTATTCATTGTATCATTTGGTCTGAGAGCCAAAGTCTATTGTACCCTTTCCCAGATGCTAGACTATGCACTGCACTTGATATCTGTAAAATCTTGGTTAGGTAGTTTCCTTTCACTGTAACAAAATGCCAGAGGCAATTAGTGAATCAAGAGAAAAGTTTTGCCAGGCACCAGTGGCTCACATCTATAATTCTAGCTACTCAGGAGGCTGAGATCTAAGGATTGCAGTTCGAAGCCAGCCCAGCTGAAAACTCTCTGTGAGACTCTTATCTCCAATTATCCCATTCAAAAACCGGAATTGGAGCTGTGGTTCAAAGTGGTAGAGCACTAGCCTTGAGCAAAAGAGCTCAAGGACAGCGCCCAGCCCCTGAGTTCAAGTCCCACAATGGACAGAGAGAGAGAGAGAGAGTTGATTGATTTGGGCTGACAGTACAGAAGGAACATGATTGGTTGGCCTTGTTGCTTTGGACCTGTGGTAAGGCGGCAGAGCATGACACTAGGATGAGGCAGAGCAAAACTACCCACCTTATAGCTAGAAAGCAGAAACAGAGCCTCATAATCCCTTGCCTGTCACACCCCCAGAGACCTGAGACCGCCTAAGGGCCCCCACCTCTCAGAGCCCACCACCTCCCAACAGCACCCCACCAGGGACCAAGCCTAGCACATGGCCCACTGGGGGACATTCAGTACCCAAACTATGGCAGAAGCCTTCCATTTTAACCATTATTGCGACTTGATTTATATCTTCCTATTAAAAATAAGGAGGGGCCAGATGGGGTGGGGCATGCCTGTAATCCCAGCAGCTGGAGGCTGAGGCTGGAGGAGCCTGAGAGAAAGCGCGAATGTCAGAGTACATCCCAGACAGGAGGGACAGCAGCCCTCCAGCTGGCAACACCTGAATACAAGGTGTGGCCATTCCACGTAGCAATCTGTCTCCATGTCCCTAGAGATCCACTCCAGTTTGAGTCCCAACTGCCTGTATAACTCACTGCAGAGACCCTTCCTTAGGCCAAGGACAGGGAGCGGTGTGGAGACCATCCAGATGTTGCTAGGAATTAACTAGGCCTATGGCCCTTTATAGTTGGAATTTTTTCTTCTTTTTTTTTTGCTGGGCCGGGGGCCTGGGCATTGTCCCTCAGCTCTTCAGCTCAAGGCTAGCGCTCTACTACTTGAGCCACAGCGCCACTTCTGGCTTTTTCAGCTTCTGTGGTGCTGAGGAATGGAACCCAGGGCCTCATGCATGCAAGGCAAGCGCTCTACCACTGAGCAACTTTCCCAGCCCCGATTTTTTTTTTCTGAAGTGAATCGTGGGACTAAGTCAGAAGATCAAGGATTTCTTCTAGAGTCAGACTGACTGGAGCTAAGTAGCTCTGTGACCTTAGACAGGACACTTGATCCTGGGCTTTTGTTTTGTTTGCTGGTACCAGAATTTATGCTCAAGACCTCCAGCTCACTCAGCTTCCTTGCTCAAATAGTGTGCTACTGCTTGAGCCATGCTCCAGTTGTGCTTTTTGCTGGTTGTCTTAGAGATGGAATCTCACAACCTTTTCTGCCCAGGCTGATTTTAAATCATGATCCTTCAGATCTCACTTTCCTGAGTACCTAGGATTATCTCTAATTACCAGCAAAAAGCCAGAAGTGGAGCTGTGGTAGAGCACCAGTCCAGAGCAAAAAAGCCAAGCAAGAGATCAAGGCCCTTGAGTTCAAACCCCAGTATTCATAACAACACTTAAGCAAAAAGACTTCAATGTCTCATTGCAGCCACCAGCACAGTGCCTGGTCTGGCAGCTGAAGCTCTGGTTTTGCTAGTTCATGCTAATATGCAGAAGTGGACAGGAGGGGACGCTTCTTGGATGCAGAGGGGAAAGGAGGCTTGGAGAGGAAATCTTCCAGTGGTCCAGTGTCTCAGGCTTAAAGTTTTAAACTGCCTCCGCCAGTGTTCTCTCTGAGAGAAGAGAAACAACAGCGACCTCTGCAGGACAGTTGGGGGAACTTGGTCAGGGAGACAGAAGAAAGGCAGGTAGGAACAAAGCTCTCTCAGTGGAGAACATCAGCTGGTGCACCCGCCTTTGCTCTACCTGAAACCGCAGGTGCCATGCACAAACACAAACCACTGCACGTAAAGCCCCAGCCTCATCCTGAACTTAGAAGCTGAAAGTGTGGCACTCAATCAAGGCATACGACAGAAGTTGAGTGCCAGTGGCTCACACATGTAATTCTAGCTACTCAGGAGGCTGAGATCGGAGAATCGCGATTTGAAGCCAGCCCCGGCAGGAAAGTCCATGAGGCTCTTAACCATCAAAAAATGCCGAAAGTGGAGCTGTGACTCCACTTGAGCAAAAAAGATCAGGGACAGCACCCAGGCCCCGAGTTCAAGCTCCAGGATCAGCACACAAGCATGTACATGCACACACACACACACGCCTGCCACAGTCATCCTGGGAGGGCTATCCTGTGGATCCACACAGCTGCCACTTGAAATGGCCTTAGTCACAGAGCTGCACTAGTTAAAGTCTCTGCCCGACGGTGCCTGGGGTACCAGCCCTATGGAGTTTCCTCGATGTCTCTCGCCCCCATTCAAAGCCCCAGGCTATGTCCGGAGGGCCCAGCCTGCACCACAGCTGTGAAATAAGTTTTGGAGTTAGCTCCTGCCGGACGGAGATGAATTCCCCAAACCCAAAGCACAGATTCTGCACATTCTGGGTAGCCGACTATCTGCAGAATGGAGCTGCGGAAGCGCAGCCCGGCCGCCAGGGGGCGCTCTGGGCTCGAGAGAGAGACCGACAAGTAGACAGGGTCAGAGCCGTCCCTAGCTGGGTGACCCGGGGATGGTAAATGAAATCCCCCAGGTCTAGGTGACGCACAGGGGTGGTGTGTACAGCAAATTAAATGATCTCGTGTACAGGCCTTGAAAACTATGCTCAATAATGTTCTGCCTCTCAGGATTTCTGGGACCTATCTGGTAAAGATGGTATTCTCATGGGTTAAGCACCAGCCTTGCAAACATGAAGTCTTGAGTTCAAATCCTAGTATTGCACACACAAAAAAGAGGAGAAACAACGGTGCTGTCTGTATTGCCAGGATACTGCGAGGTAAAGTAGAATACGGTACGCTGCGGTCTCCGCGGGCGGGCGGGCACTGGGGCTGCCCGGCGGCGGCGAGTCTCCGCGGGCGGGCGTCTTCCATGTTCTTCCCCACTTTGGAAGAGCTCCGGGTGCGCCAGGAGCGATTTCAAGTCAGGGCGAAGATGCGGGTCTTCCCGCGCAGGGCCAGGCCACGCCCCCTCCGCCACGCCCCCTCCGCCACGCCCCCCCGTGCCCGGAACAAACATGGCTCCCAGAAGCGCTTCCGCCTTCGTCCACGATGGTGAAGGGGCGGGGCCAGAGGGCGGAAGTGGCCCGTGGTGGCGGAGCCGTACACCATGGCGGCCACGGCCGCCTCCCCGGCGCTGAAGCGGCTGGATCTGCGCGACCCCGCGGCGCTTTTCGAGACGCACGGGGCGGAAGAGATCCGCGGGCTGGAGCGCCAGGTCCGGGCTGAGATCGAGCACAAGAAAGAGGAGCTGCGGCAGATGGTGGGCGAGCGGTACCGCGACCTGATCGAGGCGGCCGACACCATCGGCCAGATGCGACGCCGCGCCGAGGGGCTGGTGGACGCGGTGCGGGCCTCCGACCAGCACTGCGCGCGCCTCCGCCTCCGCCAGGCCGGCCCGGCCGCGCCGCGGCCTCCGCAGGTCAGCCCCGACCCCGCCGGTCAGCCCCGACCCCGCCGGTCAGCCCCGACCCCGCCGGTCAGCCCCGACCCACTGGTCAGCCCCGACCCCCCCGGTCAGTCCCGACCCCCGCCGGTCAGCCCCGACCCCGCCGGTCAGCCCGACCCCCGCCGATCAGCCCCGACCCCCGCCGATCAGCCCCGACCCCGCCGGTCAGCCCCGGTCAGCCCCGACCCCGCCGGTCAGCCCCGGTCAGCCCCGACCCCGCCGGTCAGCCCCGACCCCGCCGGTCAGCCTGACCCCCGCCCATCAGCCCCGGTCTTGCCGGCCAGTCGCGGCCCCCGCCGATCAGTCCCGGTTAGCTCTGACCCCGCCGGTCAGCCCCGACCCCGCCGGTCAGCCCGACCCCCGCCGATCAGCCCCGACCCCGGCCGATCAGCCCCGACCCCGCCCATCAGCCCCGGTCTTGCCGGCCAGTCGCGGCCCCCGCCGATCAGTCCCGGTTAGCTCTGACCCCGCCGGTCAGCCGCGGCCCCCGCCGGTCAGTACCGCCCCGCCCCGCCGCGGCCCCGCGCTCACCTCCGGCCCCCGCGGCCTACTGAGCCCGCACGCTCCTTTCCCGGCGCCCCCGCAGCAGTTCCTTCAACAGCTTCGCCGACTTCCGGGCTGGGCTCCCCCGCCCGGTGTAGCTGGCAGCGCCGGGGTCCCTGCACTGTCCCTGGGCACCTCACCGCTCCCTGGCTTCCGTCCCCGACCGTGGTTCTCCCGGAGCAGATTTGCCCCGTGCGCACACCTGCCTTCCCCGCGAGCCCTGCCTTCCTCATCCCAGCTTCCTGGCTCGCCTTCCGCGATGCCAGCCAGCTGCCTCGCCGTCCGGGGCTGTGGGAAGCCAGCGCCAAACCCCAAGCCTCCCCTTTCATTGTGGGGAGCTCAGGCTCTTCTTGTCGTCAAGAGATGACCTGTCTTCTCAGGTCATCTTGTCTCCCACCGACCCCCAACTTTACTGTTAGTGGAAGGTGGGGGTGGGGGATACATGTCTGGATATTGGAGCAGCTTCTCTAATGGACGTTAATCCAGATGACACAGTGAAATAGGAATTTACCCTTATCCTGGGAGAGCTGATGACAGGGAAGAAGACACTGTGGAAGTGCCCTCTCCTTGCCACCTGAAACTTTCTTTTTCTTTTCTTTTTTTTTTTTTTTTTTGGGGGGGGGGGTCTGGTCGTAGGGCCTGAACTCTGCTTCAGCTCTTCAGCTCAGGCTCAAGGCTAGCGCTCTACCACTTGAGCCACAGCGCCACTTCCGGCTTTTTTCTTGTTGCTTATGTGGTGCTGAGGAATTGAACCCAGAGCCTCATGCATGCAAGGCAAGCGCTTTACCACTGAGCCACCTTCCCAGCCCACCTGAAACTGTCTTAATGCTACCAGGGTTTCGGAAAAATCCACGCCCAGTACACTGTGCTGGCACAACTGTTGATACAAGCATAGAAGGTAGAGAGTCCTTGGGAGATTTTAAGTGTATGTCTCCTGCAGGAGGCCAGACTTTGCTATGACTGAGTGATTTTTCTTCAAGCTTATTTTAGGGCTTATGGGCTGGAGGTGTGGTTCCAGTGGTACACCAGGCATGAATGGAAAAAGCCCAGCAAAGGAGAAGGCAGAGCACTGACTTAAACGGCTTAGTTTCCCGGAGTAACGCACACTTGTAACACAGCTGCTCGGGGAGGCTAACACAGGAAGATCTTGAACTCCAGATTAGGCTGAGCACATGTGTTCTGACTTTGCTCTATCCTTCCCTGCAGCCCAAGCTGCCATCCCAGGAGCAGTTCTACAGCATGGCTGCTCAAATCAAGCTGCTCTTAGAGATCCCTGAGAAGATCTGGAGTGCCATGGAAGCCTCTCAGTACCTTCACGCCACAGGGCTCTACCTGCTCTGCTGCCACCTTCACTGCCTGCTGCAGCTGGACTCTAGTTCCCGACACAGTCCCATCCTCTCCCGGTTTCCTATACTCGTCCGGCAGGTGGCAGCAGCCAGCCACTTCCGGTAAGTAGATCCCAGCATAACCGTCTTCTCTAGTCATGGACACCCATGTGGGCCTCCCCCCTACACTCTCATGTAATCTGTTCCTTCTTGATATCCTAAGGCCTTCATTCAAGATGCTGAAGAGTCTCTTTGATCTTTCTTGCATCTTCTAGGTCAACCATTTTGCATGAAAGCAAGATGCTGCTCAAGTGCCAAGCCGTATCTGACCAAGCTGTGGCTGAGGCCCTCTGCTCTATAATTCTCTTAGAGGAGAGTTCTCCCCGGCAAGCCCTCACCGACTTCCTGTTGGCTAGAAAGGCAACTATTCAGAAACTTCTCAAACAGCCACGCCACGGTGGGTGTGGCTCCTTTCCAAACATTAGTCCTTAAACTTGGGATGAACAGAGTGAGGGATGAACAGAGTGAGCTGAGAGAGATTGAGTACTCTTTTAACTTTGCTAAAGGAAACTGTTCAAAAGAGGACTGTTGCTTCTCCTAGGTGCTGGCATCAAAGCCCAGATTTGCTCATTAGTGGAGTTACTGGCCACCACTCTGAACCAGGCTCATGCCCTTTTCTACACCACATCTGAAGGTCAGTTGCCAGATCCGTCCCTGCCCTGTGGCTTGCTATTTTCTACTCTGGAGACCATCACAGGCCAGCATCCTCCTGGTGAGTTCTTAGCCAACCTTCTTCCTGTTTCATTTACCTGATCCTTCCCTAGCGTCTGCCACGTGCCAGCCCCTGGGGATGGAGCAATGAGTGGGACAGATGGGGCCCCTTCCTTTGGAAGGCCACAGTCTGTTGGTGGAGACAGATGTTGGACTCACAAGAATGAAGTGTTTGATGTCAGTGTCCATCATTGCTATCAATGCAAGGTACCAACTGCCTTAGGAACATTGAATGGAAAGATCTTGGGAAGGCATAAGGGAGGAGTGATTTTTGAACCAGGAGTGAGTCAAGGCAAGGAAGAGAGTTCCTGAAGTAAGTTAGTCACAAGGAAGAGAGTTCCAGATAAAGGGAAGAAGAGTTGCAAAGTCTTGAGGCAAGAGGAAGTTAGTGTGTTTGTCTGAAGAGCTGAAGCAAGCCAGGGAGGCTGGGGTCTGTGGGGAAAGAGGGGGAGGGAAGCTTGAGAAGACCAGAGGAGTGGCTGCCTTTGGAGCTTGGACTACAAAGGGCAATGGATAGCCTGCCAGCACCTTCCAACCTGGTGTGGTCCCTGTGCTACGTGTTCCTATGTGTCCCATACTGCTGTTGGGCAGCATTTATCCCAGCTGTTATTAAACATTACTAATTCTTATGAGGAGTAGAACCCCATGGGGTAGAGGGATGCTGCAGAATCGGTCACTATGGTCCAGGTTGACTTGGACCAGAGAAGCTGGGATTGGGAGGGAACTGTAGCGACAGGCTAAGAGAATAGCTCAGACATCTATCAAAGGGGAGGATGTTTGATGGTGGCTGGGCTGTTGTATAGGGTGTGGGAAGAGAGATGACAAAGTTAATTAGGAAAGGAGCTGCTTTGGATAAGCTGGGGTTGGGTTGAAAATGTGGCACTGGAGGAGATAGGAATGGGTCTAGGGAGTGCATGATGATTCTGGGCTCAGACCAGAGCAGAGAAAGGTCTGCTTGGAGACATGTACCTGCAGTGTGTCTGTGTATGATGGTGTTTTAGTTGTGGAAATGGATGAGACCAATAAACAAAACAAGATTGCATGATCCCTTGGAATTCTAGGACTCCTGAAACATAGGAAAAGTGGACCAAGGAGATGGAGCAAAGACAGGAAAAGAAAATAAGGTGTGGGGTCTGGGAAGGTGGCTCAGTGGTAGAACACTTGCCTTGCATGCATGAGGCCCTGGGTTTGATTCCTCAGCACCCATAAGCAAAAAGAAAAAAGCCGGAAGTGGCACTGTGGCTCAAGTGGTAGAGCGCTAGCCTTGAGCTGAAGAGCTGAGGGACAGTGCCCAGGCGCTGAGTTCAGGCCCCACGACCGGACCAAAAAAAAAAGAAAGAAAGTAAGGTGTGGTCATAGCCAAGCGGTTATTCCCAGGAGAGTCAGGACCCCTTCCACCGCTTCCCTCTGCCCACGTGCAGGTAATAGGTTATCCTGCTTTCAAAAGATGAGTATTGACTAATCTGTCCTGGAATTGGAAAGCAAGCACGAGACCTTTGAACTCTGTCCTTCAAACCCTGAGAGCCTTCAGGGACAGGCTCCTCCCAGAGCTGCCCAGCACTGGCTGTGCGCAGCTGCCAGTGATGGAGCTGATCCACAAGGGACATAGGGTGGCGCACAAAAGGGATGTAATGAAAACATCAGGGACTGCTGGGCATGGCGCTGTCCACCTGTATGTAGCCCATAGCTGCTCAGGAAGTAGGCAGATGTGCTCAGGAAGTAGGCAGATGAACTACTGGACCCAGGGCTGGCGGCCAGCCTGGGCCCGGTAGCAAGACCCCAGTAAGAATTTGAAAGTCATGTCAAGGACTGCACAGCTCTTATTTCTTCCTTCTCCTTCTTTGGTCCTCACTCCTTTCTCCTAGCCTGTGCCATTCTTCTCAGCCATAGGGCGGCCATGGTCGTAAGGAAACTGCCACTCCCTGATGAGGGAGGCCGGAATATATGCTGTCTTCTTCTTTCTCCTCCAAGGGTCCATTTTGACCTGAGCAGAAATTCCCTGTAGGTCCCTTTGTAATGCACTGTTCAGAATGGCCTCTATTTCTTCCTGTGTGGCTCTTCCATAGGAAAGGGCTTCAGCGTGCTAAAAGAGGACGTGAAGCTCTGCAGCTGGTCCCGGCACCTGCCAGCGTCCATCGCTGAGTTCCAGCCTACCCTCCGAACCCTTGCACATCCCATCAGCCAGGAATACCTGAGAGACACGCTACAGAAATGGATCCACATGTAAGCAGACAGAAGAGGAATCTTGAGACTGGCATTTGCTCTATGCAGACCCTGGTGTGGTCAGAAAAGGGGCCATGAGGCATGGGCAGAGAATCTCAGAATCACCTGGGTGATTACATCAGGCTCCAACCCATGGCAAACAGCCCACCTTCATGGGATTTAGCACATACTGTGGGAGAACCAGGGAAGAATTTGTCTTTCAAAATATTATATAGAGGCTGGGAATGTGGCTCAGTGGTAGAGTGCTTGCCTAGCATGCATGAAGCCCTGGGTTCGATTCCTCAACACCACATAAACAGAAAAAGGCTGGAAGTGGCACTGGGCTCCCGCTATTTTTCTGAGTAATGTTATGAAAACCCCAAAATTGGTAGAGCCCCAGGAAAATGGTCTTATTACAGGTGTAACGAAGACATTAAGACTGGGATCACCAACCTGCTCTCATACGTGAAGACCATGAAAGGCCTGGCAGGGATCCGAGATGCCATGTGGGAGCTGCTGAGCAGCGAGCTGGCGGGTCCTGGCTGGGAGGTGGTGAGCCGGCGGCTGCTGGAGAAGCCACTCTTGTTCTGGGAGGACATGATGCAGCCACTCTTCCTGGACCGCTTACAGGTGAGGTGGACAGTCACACCAGCCACCAATGTGTGGCCATCCCTAGTGTGGCCTTTTGAATGTCGCAAGTCTTCCAGGTTCTGGAGCCGTCAGGTAGCCACAGCATCCTCTGAGCCACACCGCGTTACCTCTGAATGCAGGACAGATTGCCCATCATTGCACTTGTTTTGAACTCTCCAAAGGAAGTGACTAGAGCTCTCCTCCTTCTCTTTTAGACTCTGACAAAAGAAGGCTTCGAATCCATCTCCAGTAGCTCCAAAGAACTCTTGGTGTCAGCTTTGCAGGAACTCGGGAGCAGCGCTGGCAGCTCGTCAAGCAAGCACATCCACTTGGAGCAGAACATGTCTCTCTTCCTCTGGTCTGAGAGTCCCAATGACCTGCCTGCCGATGCTGCCTGGGTCAGCGTGGCAAACCGGGGTCACTTTGCCAGTACTGGCCTCTCCATGAAAGCCCATGCAATTAGCCCTTGTGTACAGAACTTCTGTTCTGCCCTGGATTCCAGACTGAAGATGAAGCTGGATGACCTCCTGGCATACCTGCCCTCGGATGATGCACCACCACCCCAGGATGCCGCCCCCGGGCAGCAGTCCAAGAAGCCTGCCTTTGACAGGTACTCGGATGCTGCGACGGTGCAGGGCCTGCTGCAGACTCACTCTGTGGCCTGCATCCAACATATCATGGACTGCGTCCAGGCTGAGCTGCAGAGCCTCAGGGATGCCGTGCAAGGCCAGCAGGACATCCTCCGCGGCACCAAGCTGCACGCAGTTCTTTTCATGGCCAGACTCTGCCAGTCCCTGGGAGAACTGTGCCCCCACCTGAAGCAGTGTATTGTGGGGAAACCTGGGAGTGCTGAGAAGCCAGCGAAGGAGATGAGGGCTCCTAAAAAGCAGGGCAAGGGCCCGGCTCAGGAAATGCCTCCCGGGCAAGCCAAGTGGCAGGAAGTGAAGGAAGCCCTCCTGCAGCAGAGTGTGGCAGGCTACCAGGTCTGGAGCTCAGCAGTTGTCAAGGTGAGTTTTAAATCCTACCCCCGCCTGCCTCACATTTTCCTCCCCTCAGATGAGATGAAAGGTTTTCTGCCTGGACTGGGGAACCTGCTCTTCTGGGAGAATACCATAATCCCTCTACTCTCCTCTGGTCTCTTACAAGGTGACCTTCTAGCAGCAGTTCCTTCCCCTTGTGAAGTGGCCACTTATCCCCCACCCCAGCATGCCGTACTTAGCGCCATCACCACGCTGCCGTCTAAGCAGCTTAAGCTCGTCTCCAGATGATTGTTGTAAACAAACTTCAGAGGCCCCAAAGGACTTACAAGACTGTTCACCTGTTCTTTTTTTTTTTCCAGGTTCTGGTTCATGGTTTCACCCAGTCACTGCTTTTAGATGATGCTGGTTCAGTCCTGGCGACAGCCACCAATTGGGAAGAACTAGAAATTCAGGAGGAGACAGAGTCTGGAAGCAGCGTCACATCTAAGATCCGACTCCCCACACAGGTGGGCTGAGTAGCTAAAAGTGAGGTTTTTAATTACCATGGGGACAGCGTAGGTTAGCACCACTTAAGCAGCCGAGTCTATTAATGCTTCCATTTTGTACTATGGGCTCGGAGCTAATTAACCTCTTAACCTGAAGTGAAAGAGGCAGTGCACAGTACATGTGCTAAGTCAGCCCGGGATCACAGCAGGACGGGCTCGGGAAGGGCCCTGGACCTAGTGTTTGCCTTTGAAGAACATGTGTGTCATGTCCGAATCAATGTGCCCGTTTTTATTTCCTGTCGTCTTGGTGCAAGTTGGCAATATGATATTCTGTTGTCCTTCCAGCCCTCATGGTATGTCCAGTCCTTCCTGTTTAGCTTATGTCAGGAAATAAATCGCGTTGGAGGCCAGGCCTTACCAAAGGTGACCCTGCAAGAGATGCTGAAAAGCTGCCTGGCTCAAGTCATAGCTGCCTATGAGAAGCTGTCAGAAGAAAAACACACCATGGTAGGTGTCTGGTTGTTTGCCCATTAATAACAACAACAACAAAAAAAAAAAAGCAAAAAAACCCACACATAACCTAGCCTTTCCTTGGTTCTGAGCCACCCACACTAAGCCGTGGGGCTTATACACATGGTCCGTGGTGTTAGGCTCACACCTAACGTCACAGTGAGGAGGCGGACGAGGACAAGTGAAGGGACACTGCCGCTAGAGCTCACTGCAGGTTCTGGGCAAACCACTAACCTGGATCTCCTCAGCTATGTCTTCATCCATTAAGGGGAATTCCTCCCCAAGCCCACCTTCCAGTGAGGAGGGGAAGGGAAGGCCACAGCCAAGCTCAGAATGCTGGCACAAGAGTAGCTTCCCATTAAGGGAGTCCTTGTCTCTTAGCCTCCACTTGAACTCAGGGCCTGGGCACTGTCCCTGAGCTTTTCTGCTCAAAGCTAGTGCTCTACCACTTACGCCACAGCTCTACTTTTGGCTTTCTTGGTGTTTAATTGGAGATAAGAGTCTTGTGGACTTTCCTTGCTCGGCTGCCTTTGATACTCAATCCTCAGCTCCTAGCCTCCTGAGTAGGTAGGATGAAAGGTGTGAGTCACCAGCGCCTGGCTCTCCTGTGCCAGACAGTCCTGACTGGAGGAAGAATTTAGTCTTCTTGGGCTTTTGAACTCACAATACTCTATGACAGGAATCCTCAGTTCTTTTAGTCTGTTTCGATGGGTCTCATCTCACACCTGCTGTTAGGTTTTGTAGTTTTTTGCGGTTTTTTGGTCAGTCGTGAGGCCTGAACTCTGTGCTGGGCGCTGTCCCTAAGCTCTTCAGCTCATGGCTAGCGCTCTACCATTTGAGCTACAGTGCCACTTCCAACTTTTTCTGCTTATGTGGTGCTGAGGAATCGAACCCAGGGTCTCATGCATGCTAGACAAGCACTCTACCACTAAGCCACCTTGCCAGCCCCACGTTTTGTAGTTTTAAGACCAAGATTAAACCAGTGAGTACAAATAGCATCTCCTAAAATACCAAGCTATGGCCACGCCGGAACCCTTAGCTGCCCTGTCATAAAACACCTCAGCTGGCTGGAATTCCTCTACAGAAAGAAGGTGCTTTTCCTGTCACCCAGAATCGGGCCCTGCAGCTTCTCTATGACTTGCGCTATCTCAGCATCGTCCTGACGACCAAGGCAGAGGAGGCCAAGAGTGGCCGGAGCAAACCTCATGCCAGGTACTTTTCTTGAGCCCCAAGACAGCCTCTCCAATGCAAAACACAGGCAGTTCCCCATTTATGGCAGTGGCACAGTGGTCAGTAGAGAGCACACTACCAGCTATGAATGTGCGTTCTCAGGGACCATTGTAGGGTGTGCTCTCCCTCAGTCCCTACAGCAGCGCAGTGCTGCTGTGCTTCCATGTCAACTTAGGATACTTTTTGGCTTACGGTGGGCTTACTGTAATATGTCCCCTTCATAAGCGACGAACAAGCCAAATGTGGTAAATGTGGTAAACACCTGTGATTCTAGCATTTGTGCGGGGAGGCAGGAAGAATGCAAGTTCAAGGCCAGTCTGGCCTACATGGTAAGACCCTATCTCATAAATAAGCTGAACATCCGTAGCCCTTTTACTGAGAAGCCCCCAAAGCAAAAGCTAATCTCTTTGGCACGTGCACTAGGTTTATCTTAGTGAGTGCTGATAGGACCATTGTGTTAAATAATGGCCACCTGCTGGGCAAACCCCATGGTCAATTGAAGCAGGCAGAATCTCAGTTGTCTTGGTATCATTTGAGCTTAGTATCCATCCCCACCCCCCAAAAAAGTGGGAGGGTACATGGAACAGACTTGTCTCAAGCCAGTCAAAAACACTAAGCCAGCAATTCAGCTGAATCAAAGCCTCTGTCCAGATTCCCATAATAGCTGTAAAATACTGTTATTGTCTTTTATCTGGATCCTCTTAGAATAGAGAAAGTGACTGATGGTCTGGAAGCCCTCATTGATCCATTTGACCTGGATGTTTTCACGCCTCACCTCAACAGCAACCTCAACCGCCTGGTGCAGCGAACTTCAGTAAGTTCTAGTAGCAATGAAGCACGAGGACACTCCTCACCAGTGCTGGAACAGCAGAGCACAGTCAAGTCCTGAGGAGGGCTGGGTTAGGTAGAATCTCACAAGTTGGGGCATCCAGGATCTGCCCCCCGCCTTTTTTTTTGTCAGTCATGGGGCTTGAACTCTGGCCTTGGGTGCTGTCCCTCAGCTCTTCAGCTCAAGGCGAGCACTCTACCGCTTAAGCCACAGCACCACTTCTGGTTTTCAAGTGGTTTATTGGAGATAAGAGTCTCACAGACTTGCCTGCCAGGGCTGGCTTTGAACTGTGATCCTCAGATCTCAGCCTCTTGAGTAGCTAGGATTACAAGCGTGACCCACCGGCGCCTGGCCCCCCTTAGTTGTAAGTAATGTTTGCTACTGGTTTTACCCAGTCTTAGATGAGGAATAAAGAACCACAAGACTGAAACTCAGATCTGGGTAGTGGCAAAAAGCAGTTTGACCCTCTAAAAAATTATATTACTCATTGACCCCTCCCCATCTTGTGTGTTCCCTTTCTTGCCTGCCAGGTTCTCTTTGGATTGGTAACAGGTACAGAAAACCAGTTCACGCCCCGAAGCAGCACGTTCAACTCCCAGGAACCCCATAACATACTGCCTCTGGCCTCAAGTCAGATCAGGTAGGTGACTGCAGGAGGTGGGGCTGGGCCAAGGGCTGTCTGGCCATGCCTTAATTCTTCCTTCTCCTTGGAGGTTTGGACTCCTCCCACTGAGTATGACAAGCACCAGAAAGACCAAGTCAACTGGCAGAGGCATGGACACACAAGCCCAGGTGAGTGCCAAGAGCAAGAGGCCAGCCCTGTGGCTCCTGTCCTCTCTCCCACCAGCCACCCGGTCAGCTCCCTTGGAAATAACCAGTAAGAACTGAATGACAGTGCACTAGTGCTGCTTTTAATGGCGGCGCAATAGAAAAGTACAAGGTCTTGCTAGCTTGAGCTGATAGAAACTTTAAAAGACGCCAAGAGACACCACCAGATAGCCTCATGGTAGAAATGTTTCCCAGGCCGCAAGGCTATAGAAAATGTGCAGGACAGGATGGAGATGGTCACTTACACTTAGAAGGGTGAGCACTCTGATGGGACTTGCTCAAAGAAAATCCTTTTTCTGGGAATGGATTCGTCTTCAGTCTTTTAGTTGGGTGGGAATTAAAGTTTACTTTGCGTTTTACGTTTTCTGTTAATGCGTGTTTTGTTTCAGTAGGATGCTATCCATTAAGCCTGCGGGAATCCTCCTGGGTATTTCTGAATTGTGTTGTGTACATGTGTGTGCAGAGCTCAGCTTGTCTTATTACAGCATTTAGTTGTTTACTTTATTGTTAGACAAAATATTAGCAATGTATCCTATCCATATTCCCTGCCATCAAACTCATTAAAATCCAAAGTACTTGGCAAACATCTGGTTTTAAAATCTAGGAGACAGTAGTTTAAAAAACAAAACAAAAAACTTGCCATAGTCCCATGCTGCACATGTAGCACTACACTCCCTGGCACCGCCTAACACAAGTTTCCACGACCCACAGTGCCCTGCAAGTCCTTTCTAGTGGAGGAATGCCATGGAAGGGAATGCATGTTTTACTCTTCCCCAGTCCTGCTCTCCGATTTTACTTGGTCAGAGTAAAATCACATGCTGTTCCCCAGGGTCCTTTTCGCATACCAGCGTCAGCAAAATCCTCAAAGCCATACGCGCTTCCCAGTTCTGTGGCGTGCCTTGTGCGGCGTGGCCCCGAATGCAGTGCAGTGGGTGGGTGGGGGCAGGGCAGGCAGGAGGCTAGGTGGGCTCTAAGGCACTTCCTCTATATCCAATGGCAGGTTGAACCCCTGCCACTCTCGAGATCAGGTGACTCGGCGCATCCTGGCTCCTTGTTCAGACAGCTCCTCAGCGATGAAGACGACTCTTCTGCATCCTCATTATTCAAACTTGGCTGGCTCTCTAGTATGACCAAGTAACACGGAGAAACGCCCATCCTGTCTAAATAAACACTATTGCATTGTCTTTCCTAAAGGTGTCTCTGCTTGTTTGTTTCTAAACTCTACCTCTTTTCCATTTTGGTGGTGGAATGCGGTCCCTTAGTCTCCAGCAGGGATGACCTTATCAAGTTTCACCCACTTGTCAGGCACCAGGTCAGGCAGTGGGCATGCTCTTAGCATCCAGTCATCCATGCCTCAGTTACCTTGCCGGGTGGAGTTACCAGGAGCTGCTTATAGAGTCCAAGTAAGACAAAATCATGACATATTTTTTGATGTGGAAATTGCATTACTTCCTACTAAAGTTGGAGCAGCGCTGACAGACATTTTCTGCGGATACAGGAGCCTGAGGGACTCGCCCTGGAAACACTGCTGGCAGAGGAGGCAGGACTAGGGAGGCTGCTTCACATCCCGAGTGAATCCGGCTCAGCTTGCTCTCCAGTTCCAATGTCAGCATCCCTTCTCAGGCTAGCTGCACACAGAGGAACATCAGTCCATCCCAGTGCAAGACTCAAGCTTTCTATATTTTGGGAGAAAACTTGTGGGTTTTTTTTTTTCATGGAAACTGGATTTTCATGACTAGTTTTATTGAATAAAAAATTGAAGATTCTGCATTTTGTAAAGGCCCTTTTACATAAAAGTCAAATCTAATTGACAAACTTGGAAACGAATCTGAATGAGACACTATGGATGCAACACACAGGTTTCCTCGACGCCCTCCCTCCTCCCTTAATCCTATAAAAACTTGCTCCGAAGCCCCTTGGAAATTGCAATAGTGCAGCAACACCACAAGTAAACAATTGCCTGTTAACCTGTTATTTCAAATATAGACTGAAAAGCTAACAGGCATTTTTGTGTGCAATTTTTTTTAAAACAAATTGTAGGTTGAAATACCGAATCTGCACAGCACTGTCCCTTCACAGAAGGCAAGAAACTGCCAGCCCTTCATGTGGGAGGCCGGCCCCGGTGCTGCAGGCTGTGAAAGTGAGCCTCCTTCAGGGTCTGGTTGATGTGGAAGTAGAGGCCTTGGCACAGTGCAGACTGCTCAGGTGCCGGCTGAGGGGTGTTGGGGCTCGATCCTGGGATGACCTGGGTCAGGCTGCTCTCTGGCCCACTGGCCCTGTCAGGACTGTTGATGCTGCTGCTGCTGCTGCTGCTGCTACTACTGCTGCTGCTCCCACCACTGTCACTGCTGGAAGACTGGAAGGAAAAAAGCCAGAGTCACCATCAGCCTGTCTTGCTGCCTAAGAACATGATTGTGGGTGAAAGCATAATCTCTACTAAGTATTCTTCCTGTCAGTAGGGAGCACCAGAATGGGCACATACTGGGGTTACAGGGTTTACCAGACACACCCACCATGCCTGGACTCCACCCTCACAACTACCCTGGCAGGGCCTGTGCTAGACTGCCTAGGAGGGGTGGGTCTGGGTTTAGGCACCAACCTTCCTATTCCACGTCCTTCAAAACTCAATTCTTTTTTTTTTTTTGTCGGTCGTGGGGCTTGAACTCTGGGCCTGGACGCTGTCCCTCAGCTCTTCAGCTCAAGGCGAGCGCTCTACCACTTGAGCTACAGCGCCACTTCCGGTTTTCTGGTGGTTTATTGGAGATAGGAGTCTCACGGTCTCTCCTGCCTGGGCTGGCTTTGAACCGCGATCCTCAGATCTCAGCCTCCTGAGTAGCTAGGATTACAGGCGTGAGCCACCAGCGCCCGGCAAAACTCAATTCTTTTACTCATCTTTTTTGCGCCCGGCAAAACTCAATTCTTTTACTCATCTTCTCTGCCTACTTGAACCCAGCAATCTCCAGTAGTGAAAGAAATCTCTAAAGGGAGAGTGCTAGTCACTAGACAGGGCGGACTCGGGCATGAACTCCTTTCTCCACGACAACTCAATACTGTACTAAGAGGAATCAAAGTCAGGATTCTATGAATAGCCTCTTATATAATTTTTTAACTTGGCTCTTTGATAGCTTTGGTCTTTTGATTGTTTTTGTTTCCTTGGACAAAAACATTGGTTTTGAAGCACCTGTTGTAAGTATGTAAAGTCTTCGCTGCTTATGTTGGAATGGAACTACTGTAGTTGCTTTTATTTCTATCCTTTATAGCTTTTCCTTTTTTTTTTTTTTTTGCCAGTTCTGGCGCTTGAACTCTGGGCCTGGGCACTGTCCCTAAGCTTCTTTTGCTCAAGGCTAGTGCTCAACCACCTGAGTCACAGCGTCACTTCTGGCTTTTTTGAGTATATTAGGGGAGGAAAGAGTCTTGTGGATTTTCCTGCCCTCTCACTGGCTTTGATCCTCAGATTGCTGCCTCCTAAGCAGTTAGGATTGTAAGTGTAAGCACTAGCACCCAGCCCTTTTTAACTTTTTTACAAGGTAAATTACAGATTTTCGCTATAAAACAAGTACATAAATATTTCCAGATACATACTTGTAATTTTTTAATCCTAGATCCCATCTATTTTTTGACCAAAAATGACATCTAACAATATGAACACAGACAACTGACCTGAAACAGCCTGAAAAGGCAAAGATGACAAAGCATCCATCAGTAATGAGACCAAAATCAAGTCTCATCAATCTACAGACCATGGAACTACTAACAGGTTATATAACCTAGTTCATAAAATGACTGGAGGGGGACTGAATGAAATCAGAAGGCAGGGCCAGCAAGCAGCATTTATGGAAAGGCTTACATCAAGGCCAATTCAAAAACAAAAATTTTGTTCTACAAAGGCCAGGAAAGACCTACATCCATCCAAGATGTCCACAGACACCTTGCAGAGACCATCAAAGTTTTACAGAGGTCACTACACTGGATCAGAAACCCACCGACAAGAATGCTCTGTTTCCTCTTAGTCTGCTTTCTTTACTGTTTCTGGTTACAGGTACTGTCTGAAAATCAAGGCAAGAACTAGAATCAGTTTCCAGAAAGTCAAAATTTCAGCTCAAATTAGATCTAGTTCACACTATCATAGCAAAGGTGATAGGTTAGAAAAGGATTCCATATAGTAGTGACTTAAAATAAGTATACCTACAATTTCTACTTCATTTAAAAAAATTCTATAACTCAACTGTGTATGTGTGTGTACTTGCACACACCAGTTCTTGAGCTTTTGTGCTCAATGCTAGCACTCTACCACTTGAGCCACAGTACTACTTCAGGCTTTTTAGTGGTGAATTGTAGGTTAAGAATCTCACAATGGGGCTGGGAAGGTGGTTCAGTGGTAGAGCACTTGCCTTGCATGCATGAGGCCCTGGCTTCGATTCCTCAGTACCACATAAGCAAAAAGAAAAAAGCTGGAAGGGGCGCTGGGGCTCAAGTGGTAGAGCGCTAGCCTTGAGCTGAAGAGCTTAGGGACAGCGATCAGGCCCAGAGTTCAAGCCCCACAACTGGACCCCAAAAAAAAAAAAAAGAATCTCACAATGCTGGGCGCCGGTGCCTCAAGGCTGTAATCCTAGCTACTTAGGAGGCTGAGATCTGAGGATCGCAGTTCAAAGCCAGCCCGGGCAGGGAAGTCTGTTGAGACTCTTTATCTCCAAAAAACCACTAGAAAACTGGAAGTGGCACTGTGGCTCAAGCGGTAGAATGCTTGCCTTGAGCTGAAGAGCGCAGGGACAGCGCCCAAACCCAGAGTTCAAGCCCCATGACCGACCAAAGAAAAAAAATCTCACAAGCTTTCCTTCCCAGCTGTCTTTGAACTGTGATCCTCAGATCTCAGCCTCCGGAGTGAGCTAGGATATCAAGCATGATCCACTACCCCCAACTCTATAACTCAACTTTATAGTGATGTTCATAAAGTGTTTAGTAGCTGTGCATCAGTGGCTCACAGCTTTAATCCTAGCTACTCAGGAGACTGAGATCTAAGAATCTCAATTCAAGCCAGCCCGGGCAGAAAAGTCCGTGAAACTACAATAAACTACTCAGGAAAAGCCAGAAGTAGTGCTGTGGCTCAAGTAATAGAATGCTAGTCTTGAGGACAAAGAGGTTCAGGGACAATATCCAGGCCCTGGTTTCAAGCCCCAAGACCAGAAAAAAAAAAAAAAAGTGTTTAGTGTACCCTTATAAATAAGTCTTTGATGTACACACACACACACACACACACACACACACACACACACACACACACACACACACACACACACACACACACACACACACACACACACACACACACACACACACACACACACACACACACACACACACACACCCCCCCCCCCCCCCCCCCCCCCTGGAAGATGTGCATGACAGATCATTTGACTGGGATCTTCAACCTTCCTTCAAATGTATCTTCTAAGCCAAGGTAGGAGCACCTGGCCCTCAGTATAAGGCCCATGACATCATTGGGACAAGAGAGGACAAGCACACAAGCTTCTCATTTGCTGCCCATGGCCATGGGCTTGTGTGGATAACTTTGTATGACCCATGAATGATGTTATAAATACCCAAATGGCCCCTGGCAGAAAGAAAAAAAAAAGGTTCCCCACCTCTAAAACTTCTACAAAAGTTGATCATGAGTAAGTAAACTAAAGAATGCTACTACAAAGTAGAAAGATCTTCAGTTACATCTAAATTCTGGTCTAGACTTTAACTCCATGCACAGATGGCAGTTTTGAGTCTTGGCCGCTCCACTGTCTGCTTGCGGACTAAAGAAAAAAACAGGCTTCTAGCACCTTCCATCAAGGTATGATGAGTGGGAAGACACCTCAGAAGTATTTCAGAAACTTTATTACTTGCACTAAGCCAGTCAAGGTACTTTCAAACTAGTAGCAGAGTACCTGCATATAATCCAGGCCACATCCATTTTATGTGTTTATTTTAGCACATGACATAAAGGCTACTGTCCTCAAAGGCAAGAACAATCCATCTCTTAAAGACATTCTGGTTTTTCTGCTTCTCACTGTTGGGGAGGGTTGGGGAAGACCTCACAAGTCACAGGTGGACTAGAACTTTTTATATGAATGTGAAACCCAGGGAAAAAAATTGCACGGTGGGTAAGGATAATTTTTCTATGAAGCCTTTCCAATGATTCCCAAGTATATTTGGTATGCACTAGGTCACTTCTGAAGGGGTGACACTGATCAAGATGTGTTGTGCTCATAAACTGACATGCTGAAATCCCTTTGCATAACTATTTTAACAACAAATTTTGAGGAGACACTGTCAAAAAAGTTTGAAGATTACTGGAATCTACCTGAACGCTGTCTTTAAATCAGTCTGTTTTGCTGATAGAGGAAAGACCATTTTCACTTCTAACTTTAAAGGCTGAATGCTGAAGTTTAAGTTTCATTCAGTGTCTTAGGATGTAAAGAAAAAAAATGGTTTGTCTTTTAAAGACCAGAAGCTAAAATATTGTATTTCCCCCACTTCATATCAGACCATTTTGGAGGAGAAGCCACTGTAGGATTGTGCCAGGTTCTAACAGTTTGTTTCTAGCTCAGTAAATACAGAAGCATTTGCCTTGTTACACCAAAGGAAAAACGAAAACCCAGAGACTAGGGCTGCTGACACAGACCCATAAAGTAGGAATCCTATCCTCATTCCTTACAGGGACATATCAGGTTACCAGACTGACAGTTAGAGGGCTCATTTTCTTTTTGTTTTTCTTTTTTTGGTCGACCATGGGGTCTGAACTCTGACTCTGAGCCTGGGCGCTGTCCCTCAGCTCTTCAGCTCAAGGCTAGCGCTCTACCACTTGAGCCACAGCACCACTTCCAGCTTTTTCTGCTTATGTGGTGCTGAGGAATCGAACCCAGGGCCCTCATGCATACTAGGCAAGCACTCTACCACTGAGCCATCTTCCCAACCCAGGGCTCATTTTCTTTACTCTGCATTTTTCATTCACAAGGGTAGTACTGACATCTGACCAGTACTGACAAATTTTTATTTCTAGAAGAAGTAGAATAAAGCTATAATTTATAAAGTACCAGTCCCTTGCAAGTCACTGAACACAAGCAAAATAAAATTGATGAAGACTCTAGCCAAGAACCTATAAACAATACACAAAGGCAACTCATAGGTGTCTGACAAAAATTAAGGATTCTGTATTTAGGCAACAGTGAAGTCACTATATCCTCATAACTACACATAAGTAGGTGAGCCAAAAACAAGGCTCCTAATTGTCTTATTTTGGTATCACCTGTGGGGTACCATGCAGCAACTCATGACTGCTTAGCAAACAGCAAGACCCAGGTTGTTTTCATACCCATTACTCTCCAAACAAATATGTATGCCTACTGTGTTCAAGAAAGCATTTTACTAGGATTGCTCCATCACTCAGTAAATATTTGCTAAGCTTAATTAAAGAAGAAGATGGTAGCAATGAACCTACTAACAACCAGAATTCAGGCTACTGTAGTGAGAGGAACACAAAGTGGGCTCCATAACCAATGCTGTTTCTTCTAGGCCCAAAAGAATAATGAGGCTGGGGTGGGAAGGTGGCTCAGTGGTGGAGTGCTTGCTTTGCATGCACAAGGCCCTAGGTTCAACTCCTCAGCGCTACATAAGCAGAAAAAGCCAGAAGTGGCTCTGTGGCTTAAGTGGTAGAGCTCTAGCCTTGAGCTGAAGAGCTGAGTGACAGCGCCCAGGCCCAGAGTTCAGGCCCAAGACCAACAAAAAAAAAATGAAGCTGGGTGCCTGTGGCTCACACCTGTAATCCTTAGCTACTAGGGAGGCTGAGATCTGAGGATCTCAGTTCACAGCCAGCCTAGGCAGGAAAGATTGTGAGACTCATCTCCAATAAACCACCAGAAAACGGGAAGTGACACTGTGGCTCAAAGTGGTAGAGTGCTAGCCTTGAGCAAAAAAAGTTCAGGGACAGTGCCCAGGCCAATCCCCATGACCAACAACAACAAAAAAGAATAAGGAAGATTTTTTTTTTTTTTGGGGGGGGGGCGGGGGGTCTGGTCGTGGGGCTTGAACTCAGGGCCTGGGCGCTGTCCCTCAGCTCTTCAGCTCAAGGCTAGCGCTCTACCATTTGAGCCACAGAGCCACTTCCGGCTTTTTTTCTTTTTTTGCTTATGTGGTGCTGAGGAATTGAACCCAGGGCCTCCGGCATGCAAGGCAAGCGCTCTACCACTGAGCCACCTTTCCAGCCCCAAATAAGGAAGATTTTTACCAGGATTTGAACTCAAGGCCTCATACTTGCTTGGCTAGTGCTCTACTATTTGAGACATGCCCCTAGCCCTGTTTTTTTCTGGCCAGTCCTGGGGCTTGAACTCAGGGCCTGGGCATTGTCCCTGAGCTTCTTTTTGCTCAAAGCTAATACTCTACCACTTGAGCCACAGCACTACTTCTGGCTTCTTCTGTTTATGAGGTACTGAGGAGTCAAACCCAGGGCCTCATGCATGCTAAACAAGCACTCTACCACTAAACCACATTCCCAGCCCTCCAGCCCTGTTTTACTGATTATTCTATAGATGGAGTCTCAAAGACTTTTTTTCTGCCTCACTTCGAATTTGAGTCCTCCAGATCTCTCAACCTGACATAGCTAAGTTTAGTGGTGTTAAACACAGCCCCACAAGAATAAGGCAGATTTTTAATATGCAGAAGATAACAGGAAGTACAAGAGCAAATTAAAAAATAAAAATAAAAATGAGCCTTTAACTCATCTCTTGCCTGGGGAGAAGAAAATGTTTCTCTCATTTTTTCTATTTCTTTCTATTTTAACCTGTTATGCTAAAATAATATCCTTGCTATGACTTTCACCTTATGGGACTCTCCATTTGTGAGACACCCTGAAGTTCTTTCAAGATCTCAAGGTCCTGAGAGTTTGTACGGGAACTGGGAAGTTGAAGGAACCCCTCGTCCATTCATCTTCTGGTGACAGAAATAGGCATGCATGAGCCAGAGTTGAACAAGGTATAGAACAAGGTATAGAAAGCATTTAGCT